GTATTTTATGACAACAATTAGCACTGTAGACTCAACTCAACTATTGACAATATTTTTCTTATTTTTTTTTTCTTCTTATTCTTAATTTTTTTTCAAAGCACCATTATTGAATTAGTAATGCGTATTCTATATTGTAGTGTATTTACACGCCTCATAAGGTAATAATATAGCTATATATATATATATATATATATATATATATATATATATATATATATATATATATATATATATAATACACTGTACATATTCCAATTTTTTGTAACACCTTTTATACCTGTATTATGCAAATAAATGAATTTGATTTGATTTGAAAAAAAAAATTAAAACTTGCTATATTTACACTCTTTTATTTTCATTAGATTATGATTAGGTGCGTATTTGAACCAAATGTATTAAGACAAGCGTTAATCCCACAGACAAACTGTTATGCAGTTTGGTGGGTGTAAAAAATTTACAAAAGGTTTGGTCCAGAATAAATTATTTATTTATTTATTATATAGGGCTATTTTTCAGAGTAGCCAAATTTTAAACTTAAGTTCAAATATATAAATATTGATATACCGTTATTGACGTTTTCGAAAATACGAGTAAATAAGACTTACACTTTTATTTGAAATTGTCCCACTAATATTGTTATTTTTTTAAAGAGTAAATAAAGGTTTATTTATTTTTAATCTGTGAAATTTTATGATTGTTTAATCAAAATCTATGTCAAACAGTGTTTCACAATAATTTTATTTTCCTACTACTATATTAAATGCTAATGTTTAACGCTATATTTATTAGACTAACATAGGTACCACAATGTTCCGTAATCATTCATATAAATATTGGAAAGCTCTGAAGTAATACTATAAATAAATCATTGAGAATTTAGTATTTATGAAACTAAATTTTGAAACCTTATCCTGTGAGTAATATATATAGACCACAGAAACAACACCAAGCAACTTAAGAAGTAAAAATCAAGGACGCATCTAAGTATTGACGCTTTATTGAACTCTCTCAAGCGAGAGCAAAATTGTACTTTGAAATGACATTCTTAATTCGTGCAAACAGCGATTCAGATCAGGTCAGTCGAGCCAGGCAAGACCAGTATCACTGCCGATACTATAATCCATTCTGATTGTTGCTATTAGCAACGTTCACCGCTGAGCTCTACACGAAGGTGCTTAGATATGAGCAGAGATAATACAAATATAACAGAGCTATAAGGGTTCTCACTTTCTCTGGGCTTAGTACATAGTTTATACATAACTGCCTCGTAGATTCTACATTTGTATATTTGCTATCCGCATTAGATAAGAATGCGCAGAGTAGTAATTCTTAGGGAGTAACTACATTTATTCAGCTTCATTCTCGTTTCGCTAGATGATTTTGATTACATTTATACAGTTCTATCTAGCGTTCTATCTCATCTGAAACGCTTTTATCAGTCGCGGACGGCGCTGGATGACTGAGAAGCAATTACATTCATGGTAAACTGCTTTCATTTAGTATTTTGCCCTCAACATTAACAGTACCATGTCCGATATTATTATCATTTCAGAAATAATAGAAAAACTAAAATGTAATAAACGCAAACACAAACGACAGAGGGTCGACCCCCTTTGGAAAAACAGAAATTTGGTTAGAGAATACGCGACAATTATACCCAAATTAAAAGTTAACAATATTTTAAATATAAGGAGCATTTTCGGATGAATATTCAAAAAATTTACGACATTGCAGGGCTATGCGACCAGGCTTACAAAAGCAAAATACTTAATAATTTCTGTTTACACATTCTCTCGATATGCACGCATACAATCATGCGAAATTATTGCAAATCAAATGTATCAATCAATACAAATCACAACTTATCGTCGAGGACAGCCCGAGTACACCGCTCAACGCAGCAGAACAATGCTGAAATTGGTAGAACAGCGCTGAACGCGGCAGAACAATGCTGAAATTGGTAGAACAGCGCTGAACGCGGCAGAACAATGCTGAAATTGGTGCTGAATGCAGCAGAACAATGCTGTAATTGGTAGAACAGTGCTGAACGCAGCAGAACAATGGTGAAATTGGCAGAACAGTGCTGAACGCAGCAGAACAATGCTGAAATTGGTAGAACAGCGCTGAACGCAGCAGAACAATGCTGAAATTGGTAGAACAGTGCTGAACGCAGCATAACAATGCTGAAATTGGTAGAACAGCGCTGAACGCGGCAGAACAATGCTGAAATTGGTAGAACAGTGCTGAACGCAGCAGAACAATGGTGAAATTGGTATATCGTCGCTGAACGCAGCAGAACAATGTTGAAATTGGCAGAACAGCGCTGAACGCAAAAGAACAATGCTGAAATTGGCAGAATAGCGATGAACGCAAAAGAACAATGCTGAAATTGGTAGAACAGCGCTGAACGCAGCAGAACAATGCTGAAATTGGTAGAGCAGCGCTGAACGCAACAGAACAATGCTAAAATTGGCAGAACAGCGCTGAACGCAGCAGAACAATGCTGAAATTGGCAGAATAGCGCTGAACGTAGCACAACAATGCTGAAATTGGTAGAACAGCGCTGAACGCGGCGAAACAACGCTGAAATTGGTAGAACAGCGCTGAACGCGGCGGAACAACGTTGAATGCGATGGAACAGCGTTGAACTCTGACGTTAGCATGCGTATGATAGAAACACACTTGTCATAATTTTATGCTATTTTGCCGCGAAAGCTAATTAAACGCGGAAAGCTGAAAGGATGCCTAGGTACAATCTCCATACAAAACTACTGTCTTCTATGGACAAACGCTGGATTGAGCTAAATAAGTGTGGTTAGTCCCTTAATGAATGCAGATAGTTTTATTAAATTATAATAATAAATAATATAAAAATAAATAATATTGCTGAGTCCTTGAACAGACGTGGTTTTTTAGCACCATGCCAAGTCAGACATCTTACTTAAATACGTAAATTATTATGACTTTTTTTTTTCATTTATAAAGATTTAAAATGTTTCGAAACCGTCATTTTGGATCAAATATGTTAGTGTACATAATAACTATATTAAGAACAACAAGTAGAATGCGAAAACATTATTAACTTTCAATTCGCTCTAGGTTGCATTTGCTCTAAACATAAAAATGGCAGACAGAACTGTGTGGCGTAAAAATATATCCGCTGCGCCGTCGTCCCGTTGCCTACCTCCGCTTTCCAGTGTTGCCGTTTTAGCGCATTTGGCGCTAGATCTAGTGCAATTCTAGGGTATATAGCGGTTTTTTTAATATCTCATCGCTAAAAAATATCTAGTGGAATCTGGCGAAAAATTTGATATTAATTGGCAGCACTAATAAAAAAAACTAGCGAGTCTGTCGTTCGTGATTGTTCGGATATTCTCCGACCAAAATGTTGCTGATGCGTTGTTTTATCTCCCTTTGCTTTTCATTATAATAATCATATAAGTTTTAATACCTAAGAAGAACTGGTTTTTCCCACTTTCAAGTTTTGTGTTAGTGTTTTAACTCAGTTTTGTTTGTTTCTTTAAAATTTTAAATGGTATTGCCACCGAAGAAGAAGGATTACAACCAGAAATATAGATCTGAGTGGGATCGAATGAGATGGAATTCAACTAGTCAAATAAGAAGGCGATGGTGATGAATAGTGAAATTTTAGGCTCAAATCTCCAAATACGAAACGCGGCTAGGATGAGTCCCTTTCGGGAATTAGTGGACTTAGCTATCAGCGTGCAGTCACTTCAACATTCAAACGGCGAAGTATAGCGGATTTTCGGCGTTATTAGCATTGTCAAAAGTAAGCTACGTAAGTGGATGTTAGCTGAAACAGTGAACTCAAATATAATGATACGTCATCAATAAAAAAATTCTTAAGCAAAGCTGCCACACATAAAGACTTACCTGAAAATGTCCTCGACAAATTACTAAAACTGTGAAAAAAGATTTGAAGCAGGTGTAGGCTCATAATCGGCATCTGGAGATTATGACCATGAAGACGTAGTGGAATTATCTGATTGAGTTGATTTTAGTATCTAATATTACTTAAATAAATGAAGATGTCTTTAAATAATCGCATTTTTTCTTATTTCCTTAAACATTTACAGGACACAACTTAGCGGAATTTGGTGGATTTTAGAAAGCAAATTTTTGTAAAATATAGCGCGATTTTGATAAGGGTTTAGTGCATCTTTTTTTCTTCATACGGCAACACTGCATCTCTCCCGCTGCGGGATCCCCCTTAGATCTATATACTATATAATATACCCTAATTTTAGCTTTCAGTTTTTGTACTTTTAGTTTTTAATTTAACTTTTGTAATAGGTATTCCAATGAAGAGTTATGGGTCTAATTCAGTCAATTATTTGTGGTATCGCTCTCTGTTTCGAAAGGTACGTTTGTTTCTTCCCTTTATCTAAGAGATACCGTGAGATAAATATTTGACTTATTTTAATTATACTTATGTTTGTGTAGAGTGAGTTAAGTAAATTAAAATAAAAGAATGTTGACATCCTGTGGTGGTGACGTAAGAAGCAAAGGCTACTAGTATCTACCACACACTGTATTTAAGTTTAGAGTTCTAGGCCAGTGAAGGGCGCAAAAATTGACATTATGAAATTTTAGCTTAGACTCGAGATTATCTAATAATACAGGCTTAAAAAAATAAGTATCTCGCCTCATGGCATGCGGCTCACCTGATGGTAAGTGACTACCGCTGCACATGAACAACCGCAACACCAGGGAAGTTGCAGGCGCGTTGTCGGCCTTTGAGAAACGAGTAAGCTTTTTTCTTGAAGGTCTAAGTCTTATAGGTATATATCCAGATTGACAAAGGGGAGCATCGCCATAGGTGTGAGACTCTAGGACAGTATGTATGCCATACTTGCACTTTTCCTTTTTAATACATTCATATTTATTCCCAAATACCGCTTTTTGTTCATGCAATGTCTATTTATTTCAGGATTGTGTCATGGTCGTGTTGCGCCTTAGTTTTGATGGTGATTTTTGTGATGATTTTATTTTTAACGGTGTACGGAATATCATTAGGGTACCATTTTGCACAAAAAGAATTGTCTGCTTTTGCTAGTAAGTTCTACCAATTTAATAATATTTTATAGTAAAATAAAATAAAAGTAAGGATATCCGGTATCAGACAGATGTTGTGCAGAATTATTTATCTTAGTGGTTTGTGTGATTCAAAATTGTTTATGAAATTGAATGTAAGCACTTAAATTTGGGTTTATATGGTTACCTTATAAATTTCTGTGAGAATGATCGAATCTTGGAGTGCTAGTCAGTGGCCGGTAGTTAAACTTACTTAGTACTACCTGTGCGAAGCCGGAGCGAGTTGCAACTAGCTGTACCCGTGACTTCGTTCGCATAGAATAATTTTTAGTAATTTATAATTTTTTTGCGCGGAACCGTAATTCTTTTTGTAAAATAAAAAGTAGCCTTGATTACAGTTAAGTTACAGTACAGTAAAGTTACAGCCTATATACGTCTCACTGCTGGGCACAGGCCTCCCCTCATTTCTGAGAGAGTTTTAGGGCAAGGAAGTGTCCGCCGCGCTGCCCCAATGCATGTTGGCGAACTTCACATGTCTTCGAAATATTTTTTTTCTCTTATTCCTCAGACATGCAGGTTTCCTCACGATGTTTTCCTTCGCCACCGAGCAAGTGGTAAATCAGCACTTAAAATTTCAATTAACAATTTCATTAGTGCCGGCGGGGATCGAACCCGGGTTACTCGCGTTCTGTTATATTTACAGCGAGCGTTAACCATCTGAGCTACCACGGCTCCTTAAAACATCAGCTATCTGCACTAGTGACAGACCCGTCAAAATCAGTCTAGCTATTTCGGAGATTAGCGGCAACAAACAGAAAGACATAAGTACCGTATATACTTACATATGCATTTAGTAAAAAGCTGTAACAGAAACGGAACCAGAAACTTTTTATTCAATGTAGATTATAAATAATACTTATTGAAAGTCACTTTTTTCATTTACCACTGTTTCGCAATAAAAAACTCTGTCCTGGGAAGAACCAGCAAGAAACCAGAAAGGACTTTTTTTTCAAATAATAGCTTACAATCATGTTTACAATTAACAATACAAGACAAATTACAAATAGCTTGGTAGCGATCACCCTTCCCAGGGCTTATTATAATCCATAAATTCCTTAATATTATAATAACCCTTTTTATACAATCTTACTTAATAAAATTTTTGAACTTTGCGTATGACAAATTTTGTATATTTTCTGGGATTTTGTTGTAAAAGCCTATACATCGCCCCAAGAATGAATTACTGACTCGGTGGAGTCGAGTAACTGGTATCACTAGCTTGTGTCTGTTCCTAGTATTTATAGAATGAATATCACTTATTTTTGCAAAACTACTTTTATTCTTGTGTACTTATATTACATTTTCATAAATATATTGGCCAGAGTTAGTATATTGTTGCGCGCCTAAGTTGACGTCTGGCACTAGCGCCATCTAGTGTCGGGTAACAGAGCGAGGAGAGCTTTCCAGAAAATGACATGACTAATCTTTCAACCGACAGCGCCATCTAGTATCGAATTGAAGAACTAAGCTTTCTAGAAGCCCTACACTCGATCTTTCGGCGCCTGGTCGATTGGCGCGCGTATTTACTTGTATATTCTGGATGTTTCGGTGAAAAGGCGTATTTAAAGGCGCTGCAATACGCGATCGGGGCAGTATTGAATTTGGCAAGACAAGCGAAGCTTCGGAGCGAAATAAAGTGAATCAGTGTGATTAGTTATTAGTGTTTTAAGTTTTAATTGGTGTTCGGTAATAAAAGTGTAAATTTTGGTAATTCAATCGGCAGTTTTTATTGTCACGAACCTCAAGCTCGTAACAATATTAATTTCCTAAATTTTTTTTCTTAGTGACACTTTTGGTTTTAAATTATATACTTCTCTAATGGCCCTTCTTCTGTAAAATAAATATAATTTCAGTCTCAGTTACGTGTCCTCATAGTATAATACCATATAACATAATGCTATGGAAATAACTAAAGTAAACTATTCTAGCTGTTTCAACACTGGTAGGAGTTCTAATAAAGTAATTTTGACATTACCAAGGGACATTGCAAACGAATAATAGATAAATGGGTAAATGGTCTTTACAATATCTTACATATAAATATCGCCACTTGAATAGATCCTACCCAGGTGAAGTCAGGGCAGCCCGCTAGTAGTCTATGGTATCTTTAGTTTAGATAATTAATTGAAACCATCAGGCATCAATCCATTTTTTTAAATCGCATGCTAACCTGAAATAGTATGGATTTAAGAAGTAACATAATAAAGCAGATAAGCAGATTTATTTTTAAAATTAAATAATTGATTTAAACTTTAATTACTAATTAATCGAGCAATTAACCTAATAAGATATGTAATAATATAAACTATTAAAATAAATAGTATAGTAGTAGTCGCCGAAGATATTTACAATAATAAAAAAAAATAAAGTAACAGTAAATGTGATGAATAAACTGATTATCAGCATTAAAATATTATATCGACATCCTCGGCAAGCGAATGAAATTTACTCATCGCTACGGTATGATTGTTCCTTAGAATATATATTTTTAATATAAAACTAAAGTAAAAAACGAACTTACAATCTACCTGTTTCTTATTTGGTAGGTCTATTACCAGTAGACCCTAGCAGACTTCTATGTAGAAAAGTAGTCTAAAAAGAATATATTTAAAAAAAAATTAAATCCCAATTTACTGGTAGAATTATGTTGCGATTATGCTACTACACCTAAAAACTTAGTTTTTATCTTTACTCACTATATATCATCACTCCAGTTTTTGCATACTTTTTCGTCACCATACAAACAAGTAGCTCCTTCTCTCCTTCCCGGTAGATATCTGAAACGCGTTACAACCTGTATATCCGGGCCATTGCCACTTCAGCTTACTGATCCGTTGAGCTATGTTGGTTACTGAGATTCTGCTGCGGATATCCTCATTAAGAAGTTTATCACACAGGGAAACGCCGGGCATAGCTTTAAGTTATAACTTACTTACTTACTTACTTATCTTCACGCACAATCCCTAACGGGGTAGCCAGAGAGAAAAGATCGCCAAGTGTCACGATCCTTACATACCTCTTTCGCTTCTTTCAGGTTCATTAACTTCTTCATACATGCACGTCTAGGTATCCGAGTACTCTTGACCTTCTCCTCTTCGAGCAATTTGCTCACATGGTCTTCGAAAGTTAGTCTCGGTCTACCTCGACACCTTTTAATATTTACTTTCGCTCTATATATTTTCTTCACCATTCGGTCTTCACTCATTCGCTCAACGTGCCCAAACCATTGGAGTACGCCCCTATCAATTTTTGTGATAAGGTCATCTTTCAATCCTGCCATATTGCGAATCTCTTCGTTTCGCTTTCGATCGGCTATGGTAACGCCACACATTTTACGAAGAGATCGCATCTCCACTGCATTCAACTTGCTTTTATGCTTCTTCTGGCATACACAGGTTTCGCTGCCATATAACAAAGTCGGTACCAACACTGCGTTATCTATTGCAAGGCGTGCACTCTTCACCACGCCTTGCCTTTTGACTAATGCATTCAGGGCACCATTGACTTTGTTTTCGGCAGCGACACGCCTATCCACATCTAAATCACATCTTCCATCCCGCCTGAAAGCACTCCCCAAGTATACAATTTCATTTACCTGTTCTAGACATTCCTGATTTACCCATATTTCACATTTCGTTCTCTCTTCGTCCTTTTCAAATACCAGAACCTTAGTTTTATTAGCATTCAAACGGAGACCTTTAATTTCACATTCCTCTTTCATACACGTGACTAGTGTCTGCAGTTCTGCTTCTGATGGTGCAATAAGCACTGCATCATCAGCATACAGCAGACAATTTACTTTAATGTCACCCAATTTCACAACAGACTTTTTTTTACGATTTTGAGCAGCCAGGAAGACATGACACAACACTGTTTTACGCCCGCTTGGACGCTAAACATGGGTGACAGGTCATGCCCTACCCGCACACAGGCTTTACAGTCATAGTAAAGTGACTGCACAGCCCTTAACAATCGACCATCCACACCATATCCCGGTTATAAGTTAAGTTATAACTCGATGACTAAATAAAAAACTTTACTAACATTAGTTTAATCTGTTTTCTAGTGGGTGAATCAGAATCAGAATCAGGATCAGAAAGCAAAATATTACGAAGCAGCGAGGAAGTTTTAAACGAGCCCGTAGTGAGACTAGTCGCCGTCAACAAATCACAAGGAGAGCAAGCTACAGACTATATATCAGGTATACTTGTCTTTACAAAGTTCTTTAAACATTGTATTTCATTTATTGTTAATGCATTTTTAAAGCTACGCGGACAATATGGTTCTGCTGGCATCCTCAGTTAGTGCGATGAGAGCTCTCCTCGGTGTTTGTAAAAAAATTCGCTGTCTCACATGGTTTACAATACAATACCAAAAAGTCGCAGTTCATGGTATTTAAGGCTGGCAGTAAATATCCTAGTGTGGTACCACCTATAAAGCTTCATAACGAACCACTAGAGGGGGTCTATGGTTTTAAATATCTTGGACATATTGTGACTGACAGCCTTAAAGACGATGAAGACATTGAAAGAGAACGTAGGGCACTGACGGCATAGATTTGGTCGCTGCACTGACGCTGTCAAGATCACGCTTTTCAAAGCATATTGTGTGTCATTTTATTCTTGCAGTCTATGGACCAACTATACCAAAAAGTCTTATACGTACTCAATACAACAAGGCATTCTATACTACTGTAGCGCGTCTGCGATGTTTACACTGGCGGGTGTGGGTAGTTTTAATTCAATAATCTAAAAAAAGACCACATCTTTGCTAAACAGAGTGCGCGGCAGCGACCACAGTGTGCTGAGTGAGATGCCGACAGTGATGTCTGTCCACTGATCAAAAATATGGTCTCCAGGACTATGTCCTGTTTAATAATTAAATATTTAAATAAAGTATAAATTATTTTACTAACATAGATGTAAGTTTTTCTCTACTAACAATTCCTATGAATTCAAGTAGTCCGAAATAAACAATTTTAATTTTTTTTTCTTACTTTTCAGGCCTCTACGAGACCACGCCCGTTATTGAACCTATGTTCATAGAGACTTCAGCGACGCCAATCTTTGTGCTGGAAAGTGAAAGGTTATTTTGTTACATGATTTTAATCTGAATCAAGACCGGAATCGGGGGGAAAGATGCCGAAGTATATGAGAAAGGGATCTCCACAGAAGATCTGTGATAAAATTGGCAAACGCATAGTAACAATAAAACTATACCAACCATACTATTCAAATGTAAATGAGATGAAAAGCACTCGTTTTTCCAAAATTAAAATTCTTATCTTTGGTACGTGTCATGTGCATATGCCTTGCACTGCGGATGACACGTACCAAAGGGTCCTCCTCACGGCCCACTACTATTGGACGATCCTGGGATCCGTTTCGGCGTTGTAGGTATAACGACTAGCGAGAAAGGACCTTCGCTAGCCGTTTGTTTTAGGTCAAGTTATAATGGTTGAACGATCTTTGACATTGAGGGCTGTTACTCGACTCCCTAATCTATATAGGGAGGAGTTCTCTTGGTAAAGGTCGCCCGTCCTGTGTAGCGGCACCATGTTGTTTAGATGTGGGTGGGTGGGTGTGGCCCGTTGTCGGCGCGGTTGAACATACCAGCCAGAGCACAAATTCTTGAATGTTTTCTATTTTAAGGTTGGCCACTATAATGTCGTTCCGGACGTAGCGACCTGCACCGACAATGGTCCGTAATGATAAGTTCTGCTGGGCCTGCAGTCGCCGCCTCTGTCGATCGCTCAGAAGTGCGCCTAATATATAGCTTGTAAATTTTGACTTTGGTTTTAGTTGGTAGCTTGGATGCCAATACGGAGCATCGCCAGTGCAGATCTGGCTCTACGTATGACGAGGTCGACGTGCGTGGCACTCAATATGGGTCACAGCCTTCTCGTACGCGAACTTCTGGCCTCTGATCGTCAATGGTTGTGGTAGTTTTCTGAGGCGACGTGTGAGAAGAGCGGTCGTCTTACCAACGTTGTCGGCCATCCTACACTCATCCAGCCATAGTGGCAACAGGTCACATCCTGACAGTGACAACGTGGGCTTTTCTGGACGAGGTGAAATAGGCGCTATCGTCCGCATATAGCGCCAGCTCTACGTCGTCCTCCCACTCGCGCAGATGTCCTGCCAGTGTTGGGATGTCGTTGGTATAAGCAGCGTACAAGACAGGCAGCTACCCAGTGGTATGCCGGCTCTGATGGGTCTCGCTGCGGACACGGCGTCCTTTAGATAGACGTAGAACTTCCTGTCTACGAGGAATGACGCCACTAGCCGCAACATAGCAGGAGGGGTACTGGTCTGATCTTCCAACTCATAGAGTAGTCCAGAGTGCCACACCCTGTCGAACGCCTTCTCTATGTCGAGGAAGACGCTCAACAATGTGCGGCTGCGGTTGTGCTCGACCCCAAGGTAGTGCAGCACCCTGGTCAGCTGTATGGCTGTTGAGTAATCCCTCCTGAATCTGTCCTGCTCTGCCCGAAGTTGTATGTACAGGCGGCTGACCGGGCGTCTGAGTAGGTCTTTCGGGCAGCTTAGCTTTGTGCGGTAGCAGCGTAATCGGCCTATAGCTGGCAGCTCTACGCCTGTTCTTCCCGGGTTTCGGCAACACGATAACTTTGTCCATCTTCCGGTCCTCCGGGAAGTGGGTTGTCCGCAGTATAACATTGTGCAAGTTGTCCATTGGGCAGCTGTTGGAGTGCAACGTTGGTAATCCCGTCGTGCCCTGGTGCCTTCCTCGATTGCAGGTGGTTTACTGTCCTCCGCAGTTTAGCACGGGAGATGATTCCTCTCGTGAACCACTCCAAGAACTCCTTCCAGGCATAAAGCTCCATGAACTCAGCACTTGCTTTGTTCTGTATAAATAGTTTTAGGAAGTTATCTACTAGAATATTCGCTCTACCTTAGACATCGTAACAAAGTTCCCCCGCGTTTTTGGTCAGGGGGCAAATGTGGGGACTAGTTTAAGCTAACTGTCGATTCAGTTTGTAGTATAACGACGCATCTTGCTCTTACGATTTCCAGATGCGCCGCTCCCTGACCTCTCATCTTGGGCCTGGGTTGCAAGCGACAGTTCATCCGTTAGTCAGTTTAGCTGTCTTTTCAACCTGGGGCAGTGAGTGCGCGCCCAGAGCTTCCTCAGCGCTCTTTTATGCTTTGGCTGCACGCGTATCTTTAGCGCGATCGCAAAGGCCACGTGGAGGACCTCCTATATGGTCTTGGAAATTCTGGTTGCAGCAGCCTCTACGTCGTCTGCTGAGTTTAATGGTGTGTGAGTATTCTGGAGGTTTGTCCTGCAGGTGTTGGTGGTAGAGCCTCCAGTCATTTTGAATTTTGGTCTTGAAGGCCAGAGCCCAGAGGCTTGACTACGCTAGTCACTACCATAAGGCCAAAGGAAATCAGCATCAGGAGGCACACACCAGCACTTCTACCACTATCGGACAGTTGACGTTCCTAGAGAGCACTATGTCCAGTACATCCGGACATCTATGTGGGTCAGTAAGAACATGTGATGGCTTTTCGGGACCTAAAATATCATAGTTGTTGTTTTCAGCATCTTCATAAAGTTCACGATCCGGCGGATTTAACACTCTAGATCCCCACGCCGGGTGTTTGACGTTTAGGTCCCCGGTGATGATGTTGGGCGTAATGCTTTCCATTACCGTCCGGACGTCTGAGTAGCAAAATGGAGTCCCTGGCGGGCATATTGCTACAAAGATCAATACTTCCTCGCCCGCCGCCTCCATTTTTATGCTGATAGAGCGCAGCGTTTGGTAATCTGGCAGGCCTAGTTCTTGATGGATGATGTCTCCCCTCACTAGAACCGCCGTCCCTCTGTAAGCGATCCCTTGAGGATTGACCTCGTTCCGCCTGTAGAAATTATGGTAGTTGGACAGCTTTAGATGCGTAGATGGTCTAAATTTAGTCTCTCCCAGCAAGATCAGTTATTGGGCGACTGTGCGAAGTTCATGGATCCTCTGTTGTGCCCCGTTCCGGATTCCAACAGAGGAGTCCTAGGTTACGCTCCTCCGTAGTGGCGTGCCAGTAGTACTGTCAGCGCCTTCATTACGGCGGTAATAGGATCTGTCCCGGTCCTGATAAAGGCCAGGACTTGAGTGCTGACCTCGAAGCTATGCCTATCAATTTCTGCATCAGCATCAACTGTCTCGTGGCTGGCTGGTGGTTGTCGTCTTGTTATTGAAGGCACAGATCTCGGGACGTTGATGGTTGTTTCTCTCCTGTGGGTAGAGCGCGCTTTATGTGTAGAGCGGGCCCTATTTTCGGATAGAGCCCTTTCCGGCGCTCTACCCACGTTAGCATCTTTCCTTACTGAGAAGCAGGCTGTGCCTTCTTCTTCTTCTTCCCCCGCTTCTTCTTCTTAGAGGGCTGTCGCTCCGTAGTGTTATAAGCGGGGGGCTGGAGAGTAACCCCGGTGGTTGCCCTCATCTCAACGCGTTCCTCCATTTCCAATGGTGTTGCGGGGGGGGGGGCGGTCTAACTGACTACTCTTTCCTTTAACGATGACCCCCCCGTCTTTTTGTATTTTTACCACTCTTGGGCGACTCTGGGAGATCCTATTCGGATCCTCCTGGAGTAGCCAGTAGCCAGAGTTTGTATTACACAAACCTCACGATGAACGAGCTTTATCAGAAATGCAGAGAATGACGGGTTTAAAGCTCATTCGTCGTGAGGTTATTATGTTAAGTAATGTAATTATTAGAGATGGGCCGAATATGGATTTCACCGAATACGAATATTCGGCTGAAAGTTGGGTAAGAATTTTACCGAACCGAATATTCGGCCGAACATTATTGGGCAGAATCATCTCGGTACCTAACCAATTTATGTCGAAACTTGTTACCGTAAAGCGCGTGGGATTAGTGCCGGTCCTTGCCCCTCGCTCATCATCTAGTACTGAGCAAATTACCGGCACATGATTATGCTTTGACTGTTTTTTTGGGAAAAAAAGTATTTCGATTTGTTATTCTTAGAGAAAATTGATAGTTATGTGATAAAAATTAGTGGCAGGAGTTCTACTATTTGGACTTATTTTAGAGAAACTGACGACTAAAGTATAGAGAAATGTAAGTACTAATGTAATGTAATGTTTCTTTGTTAGATTCCAAAAACATTTTATCAAGCTTTCTATTTGCAATAATTGGATATAAATCTACAGTGCCTAACGCGTCTAAAAACATAACGCTATACAAGTAGATTTAACCCATAAATAAAATTTACTTTCAATAGTAAAATTGTGAAAGACATGACATTACTCAATTCGTACATTTCAATACAGTGGACACTTTGAGTACCACTTTAAAGAATTTCCGGTGATTTAGCCGAATATTCGGCCGAATACGAATATTCGGTAAAGCTATCGAATATATTCGGCCCATCTCTAGTAATTAATATGTAATGTTATAGTACACAACTCACTATGAAAATCTGTGAGTAAATAATAAATCACCCCTATTTTCACACCCTTAGAGTAATTTTTTTCCAAATTTATGTGAGACCAATTTCCAGGTATATACCTGTTGTTGTTTGTGTTGTACATATAAATTACCCTATCCATTAAACAAAGAATTATCAAAATCGTACAACTCCTTAATAACTCACCCCTATTTTCCCACTCTTAGGTAATTATTTTTTCCAAATTTGTATGGGACCAGTTTCGAGGTATATCCTATTCAATAAAAAAAGAATTATCAAAATCGGAGTACTCTGTAATAAATCACTCCTATTTTTTCACCCTAGGGTAAAACATTTTTCCAAATTTATGTGGGACCAATTTCGAGGTACACCCTATCCAATAAAAAAGGAATTATGAAAATCGGACTACTCTTGAATAAATCACCCTTGTTATTTCTCACCCTTAGGGAAAAATTTTTTCCAAATTTATATGGGACCAATTTCGAGGTATACTCTATCCATTAAAAAAAAGAATTATCTAAATCGGAGTACTCTGTAATAAATCACTCCTATTTTCCCACCCTAGGGTAAAAACATTTTTCCAAATTTATGTGGGACCATTTTCAAGGTATACCCTATCCAATAAAAAAGGAATTATCAAAATCGGACTACTCTTTAATAAATCACCCTTTTTATTTCTCGGGTATACTTGGTCCCATATAAATTTGAAAAAAAAATTTACCCTAAGGGTGTGAAATAAAAAAAGAATTATCAAAATCGGAGTACTCTGGAATAAATCACTCCTATTTTCCCACCCTAGGGTAAAAACATTTTTCCAAATTTATATGGGACCAATTTCGAGGTATACCCTATCCAATCAAAAAAGAATTATCAAAATCGGACTACTCTGTAAGAAGTTATGCGTGGTCATACGTACAAGAAAATATACTCGTCGACTTGAGTACCTCCTTCGTTTTTTCGTCGATTGAAAAGGAGTGATAGATTCTGTTCAATCTGCTCTACATGCTGAAAGTCGCGGGCTAGGTCGCCTGCAGCATCATTGCTTCTGGAATCAGTGTCTTTTAGAGCAACAAGCTCGTAGTAGACGGTGCAAGCTCCGATTACAAGCCTATTAATGCTAGTGTTCCACAAGGCTGCGTGCTATCAACAATACTATTTCTTCTGCATATCAATGATATGTTTCAAATCGATAAAATTCAATGAAATGCGGGCGACAGCACTACATTTTACACCGACTGTAGCAATATTTTTCGGGCAAACGTCGCCGAGTACCGAAACAAACTTGTGTCTGAAGACGAGACTTTGTTTAACAAAGTCTAGGATTGCGGGCGAGTAAATCTAGTCCAGTTCAATCCTCAGAAGATACAAGTCTTTCCTGTTTTATGCCACGCCCCTTTTTGTCTCAACCAGTATTAGAATCCTCTACATATCGAATGACGTGCAGTTTTGTGGTCACTCGGAAGAGGATGCCAAATTGGCCTCTAAAAAGCTTGGCGTGCTCAGCAGAGTGGGCCAGTATTTCATGCCGGCACACCGCCTGCAACTTTACAAGGCGCAGGTTCGACCCCTCATGGAATACTGTTCCCATCACTGGGTCGGGGCTCCCTAGTGCCAGCTCCTTCCATTTGATCGCATCCAGCGCAGAGTGGTTCAAATCGTCGTCGACATTCTAATGAATTTAAAACATAAATAATCCACAAAGAGAACAAAAGGTTTTCATTTGTAAAAAAAATTACATACCAAAGAACATCGGATGATTACTTTTGCCTCACCCATTATATTATATATTATGGGTTATTTCATTACTATTCAATAAAAGAGTACATATAATTTTAAAAAGAAATATCAAATATATATTTAACGATTAAATAGCGCGCCGACCAAACAGTCCATATAAAGTGTGAAAAATCTGCTTTTGGCGCATAATGGCTAGATGCATATGTTTATATATATATATATATATATATATATATATATATATATATATACACACACAATATATTTGTGTGTGTGTGTGTGTGTATGTCTGTGTAATACTTATATGTAATAAACAATACTTTTATAAAATATATAATACTTCCCAGTATTCGTTTACCGAAACGCTCACACTCCATAAATTCCTATGTAATTTAATTTCAATGGTTTCTGCTAACATTAAGAAGCTAGAAATACAAATATTATCAATTGATCATCAACTTTAACACGATTAACTTGATTGCAGGCCGGCAAAAGAACCGGTACTAACACCCAATGAAAGAGAATTGGCGCGAAGGCTTATCGGGAGATTTCGTCGAGCAAGGAGAAATAACTCCACCAGCATTTCATTACTTAGTCCAGAAAATAATAACACTGTTACTGCTTCATACACTAACACACTAGTGACGGCGTAGTAGTTTGCTGTTAAGACCTGATAATATTTTAAATATACAGCTAACTTTATAGCAAGCATTTTTACTGTGATTTAGTATTATTATAAAATACATAAACTACGTTTTATAAAAAAAAATTACACCTAGAATGCTGGAACTTTTATTTTGAGCGTTGTATATATTCTTTGCAAGAATTCTATGTGGATGTTAATAGAAACCATTTTAACTAAATACCCTATTTTCTATTATAGTTCAATTTTACATACATTATCGTCATATAACATAGGTATAGGAACGACTGTCCATGTACACATATCTACACCTAATATACACATAGAAAAGTAGTGTTTATAATTCTAAATTAAAAGAATACAAGCCTAATGAACTAAATAAATGGTGCTAAAGCCAATTTTTTGGAATTTTTGTCTGTTTTGTTTTGTATTTGGTATGAAAGTAGTTAATAACCCTGGGTAACATATAGGCTACTTTTTATCCGACTACAGAAGATAAAAATAGAGGGATATGTCTTTCCCTTTCTTTAGATGTTCATTTTCATAATAGCCGCTGATTAGTCTGTCATAATAGTTCTTGAAAAGTACACTATTTATACTACGTTTTGACGTAATTGGAAACTGAGTCTAAAACTGTCATCTAAAATAATCTAGACAAAACAAATTTTTATTTTTAATAGACGCTAAAAATGAAATAATATGTGATTTTTTTACCTTCCACTACTAAACTGTAAATGACAGAACACTATTACTCTCTACCGAGAGAAGAACATATTATCTAAAAGCGCTTCTACACGGTCGGGACCAACCACCAACCGTCGTGACCTTGGTCGGGTCAACCGATTTTTGTATTCGTTCTACACGGTCGGATGGTTGACTCAACTTGTCAGTTGTCTCTGGTATTTAAAGAGTAAAGACGTAAGGTAGTTACTTTTAAAAATGGCTCCTTGCTTTTCTATACGACAAAAAATCGGTTTAGATTTAACGTTTCTATGCAATGAAGATGAAAAAAGAAGAAAAAAAAAATAAAATGGATAAAATTGTGGCTGAAAGAGCGCATTACTTTAAACAAACATGACACGGTACTTTAAGACATGGTAAATCACAGTACAGTGACAAGAATTCGGTCAGGACCTCACGTTCGTTGCTTCCGTTCGTATCCATAGCGCCGTTAAACATCCGCCTGCGACGACTGCTAAGCGCGCACTGAGGCGCTCTCGTCGGCCGACAGCGTTCCACACGGTCGGCATCAACCACGGACCCAACGTGTCGTGAGGGATGCGGTCGCGACCAAGGCCGTCGGACTCAACCAAAATATTGGTCAGACAACCGATGTCTACACTGTCCATTTTTACATCAACTCGACCAAGATCACGACGGTTGGTGGTTGGTTCCGACCGTGTAGAAGGCCTATAAATCTAAAATAATGAAACGCGCGTCGAGTGTATACTCGTACCTACTACTAGCGCCACAGCGGGCTTCTCCCGGGAATTTCAAACCTTTGGTTTCTGTAACTTTTAAACTTTTTCAAGTTCAAGCTTCAAAAACTCATGGGGTAAATTCCCATACATTTGACAAATTGCACCAAAGTTACCCGAATTTACTTTAGATTAGCATGTGGGATAAAAAAAATTATAAATAGGTATAGTTATGTAAATTTTTTTATTTAATTTTAAGATTGTTTTATAAATTATACATTATAATTGTTGTTTTATATTGCTTTTGCACATAATGTTTCCATGCATGTTATTTATATATATTCTTAAGACAGATTTATTATTTTCACGGATTTCATTCACAGAATAATAACGTAAATTTAAATTAGAAATTTCTCTTGGTGAAATTTTAACTCAGCCTAAAATAAATGATCTGGAACAGATAAAATTTGAGTTAATATAGTACTAATCCCTACAAAAAACGGTCAATAAATTCAAAATGTTTAAAGACGAACCTAAAGAAAATTATAAATAGGTATAGTTATGATATGTATTGAAGACAATAAATTCAAAATGTTTAAAGACGAACCACACATATCGTCGGAATTTTTAGGGTTCCGTAGTCAACTAGGAACCCTGATAGTTTCGCCATGTCTGTCTGTCCGTCTGTCCGTCCTCGCTTAATCTCTGTGACCGTTAGCACTAGAAAGCTGAAATTTGGTACCAATATGTGTATCAATCACGCCGACAAAGTGGTAAAATAAAAATTGGAAAAAAATGTTTTATTATGGTAGCCCCCCTATATGTAAAGTGGGAAGTTATTTTTTTTTAATTTCAACCCTAACGTGTGATATATTGTTGGAAAGGTATTTAAAAATGAATAGGGGTTTACTAAAATCATTTTTTGATAATGTCAATAATTTCGGAAATAATCGCTACAAAAGTAAAAAAAACAGTGTGTCCCCCCCCCCCCTCTAACTTTTGAACCATAAGTTTAGAAAATAAGAAAAAAATCTGAAAAGTAGAACTTTATAAGGACTTTCTAGGAAAATCATTTTGAACTTGGATGGAAACAACAGTACCCACTACCGGGAGCAGTTGCAGGAGCGCGGAGCGCTGCTGGAGCGCGAACATAATGGATACTTTTAAACTCATAAGTGGGAACACTTATTGTGACGGACGGGAAATTACAGAACCCTACACTGAGCGTGGCCCGACACGCTCTTGGCTGGTTTATTCTTGTTCTATTGTAGGGGAAAAGTGATAAGATGATTTTGTGCTTCTTGTTTTCACATTACACTTAACTTTTTTGTTTCGATTCTGATCACACATCATACATTTTTTTTAAATATTCAGTATGTAAATACATAGTCAACAACTTACAAAAAATCTTTATATACACAATCGTGAGGAAATGCTTACAAACGCAAACTAAGTACTCTGAACCGACAATAACTGCAACTAAACAAAAATGAACAAAAAACGTCTAGTTTTTATAGTCTTAATACATACATAATCTTAATAAACACATAATCTTAATACAATATTGTTCATATAAACTGCACCCCCTTTTTATATAAAAAAGGGTGGCATACGAACACACAGTTCACCTGATGGTTAGTGGGTGCTATGTTCCATAGACATATTTATCTTCAATTAAGAATTACAATGCAGATGCGTCGTCACCCCTGAGAACTGGAATGGAATGCCTCGTTTTTAGTAAAAATGGTCTCAGTTTCTTACACTCACCATACGAAACACAGCAACATTAAGCTGCTATTTCACGCTGGTATTCCGTGAGAGCCAGGTCTTACTCCGGTTGAGCCGACCCATTCGTGCTACAACAATGACTACGCTGCGGCATGGCTCTTCCACGTAATATGCTGAGACGTAAAATAAAATAACTGTTTCATCAACACCTTTTTTCATTCCTTTAGAGTTTGAGTTTTCCTAAATCCTTTCCTAGTGGGTGCCTAAGTTATAAAAAGCAGCTACTGTCCAATTCTCAGATTTCTACGTATAGGTATACGGTTTGGGTTGTGCGTGGATAGGTGAGTCAATCACTCATGATATCCCCTTTTATACATAGGTATAGTGATAATACATATTATATTTTAATTAGATAAGAAATTACGACTAAATATTGGGTCCTTACATATGAAATTAGCGTTTTGTCGTACTGACCACTTTGATCTGAAATATCTCCTCTTTGGTTAAGAATTCCAAATTCAAATTTATAAATTCATTTAGCTGGTACACATTTGAGTTCTGAAAACAGTCATTCATTTGTTTTTTCCTCATTATTTTTTTCTTTGGCGTCGCTTATTACCGCACAATTAAAAACATGAAATATCGGTATATTTATGATTACGAGTTCTACCGTGGCACCAGTGCTGCAGAAACAGCTCGAAGGATTAATGATGTGTACGGCGCTGGTATCGCAAAAGAAAGCACGGTACGTTTTTGGTTTTAACGTTTTCGTTCTGGAAATTTCGACCTTCAGAACCAACCCCGTGGACAGCTGGAGACCAAAGTGGAAAATGAAGAATTAAAGGCTATTGTTGAAGCGGATCATAAAGCACTTCAGAGATAGCTGCAGGCTTCGAAGTGAAAGATAAAACTGTATTAATCACAGAAATCTAAATATAAATAGAAGTCGTAAAAGCGCGTGACCTTGTCGCCGCACATGTGTAATCTACTAATTACTACATGCTTAATTTTTGATTACTTTTAAAATAGCTACTTGCCTTCCTTTAGCTATTAACTGTTATATAATCCTACCTTAACAATTTAAAGCTGTAAGACGTTATTTGTTTAAAGGCCAGGCATATGTGGCACTAAGTAGAGTAAAATCACTTGAGGGTATTGCTTTATCTGATCTAGAGCCAAATAAGGTATTACACAAACCTCACGATGAACGAGCTTTATCAGATATGCAGAGACTTAGAGGTCTACACAAAAGAGACTGACAGGTCTAAAGCTCATTCATCGTGAGCTCATTATTTTTTATTTATTTTGTTTATTGTAATGTAATTATTATGTAATGTTGTAATACACAACTCAGCATTAAAATCTGTGAGTAAACAATAAATCACCCCTATTTTCCCACCCTTAGGTAATTTTTTTCCAAAATTTATATGGGACTAGTTTCGAGGTATACCCTATCCAATAAAAAAAGAATTATCAAATTCGGAATACTCTATATTAAATTACCCTTATTTTGCCACCCTTACGGTAAAACTTTTTTCTAAATTTATATGGGACCAATTTCGAAGTATACCTAACGTGACCAGACGTCCCGTTTTGAACTGGACTGTCCCTTTTTATAGTTACGAGTCCCGGTGTCCCCGAAATGAACTCTGGGACCCAAAATTGTCCCGTTTTCTGAGACCGCGCGAAAATTTGTATTGTTACTAAAAATTTTTTGAAGATCCCACATCCGAATAATGGCTTTATTTTTTATACGCTCAGTCAGCAAGTTTTCATCGAGCTGTATTGAAACTTGAAATTCAGACGGTATTGGCTATTGAAGCTGCAAAAAAATCAATCAACTAAAAGACAATTTGACTCAGAA